CGCAGGCCCGATAAACTCCGCGCCGCTCCGCGCCCGCGGGGCCCCCGCCGCGGCTAAAATGCAGGTGACCCTCTGCGTCTTCTGGGGCTTCGGCGTCTTCTTAGCGTCGGGGTACAGCTCCTTTAGCAAGAGCGTGGAGACGCTGGGCAAGAAGCAGTACCAGGTCCAGCACGGGTCGTGCAGCTACACCTTCCTTCTGCCCGAGACGGACAACTGCCGCTCCTCCGCGTCCTACGTCTCCAACGCCGTGCAAAGGGATGCGCCTTTGGACTACGATGATTCAGTTCAGAGACTGCAACTACTTGAAAACATCATGGAGAACAACACTCAGTGGCTCATGAAGGTAGGAGAATACCATTCCCATTCTAAAAATCTTGTCTGCAACACTCTGTTACCTATTAGTTTGTTTTTTTTCTTCTTCTAACAGTTTCTAAATTCACAAAGTGCATTATCTAAACTAAGTTCCTGAATTACCTTCCAGTCAAAAAAATTGCTTTCCAGCCTGAGAACACAGTTTTACTGATGGAAAGGAACAGAGAACCACACCATTCTGGAGAGCTCATGCTTTAAAGTTTGCCATTACGTTTGAGGTGCTTGAACAAATAGTCACTACATACACAGGCAGACTGGGAGCATGTCTGCAATTTCTGACGTGAAAGAGCCAGCTACTGATTTATAATTGACTGACAACGGCTATTTTATCTCTATTTAAAGAATATAGTGTGTACCTTTATCTGAGGCATGTTTGAAAAGTATTACTTGAGACACGATTTCAAAACTTGCATGCAGAAATGAATCCCCACTGATAAAGAATTGTCATTCCCTGCAAAGACTGCAAGTCTGACTCGCGGTGGAATTAGTCTAGCGAAGTGATAGAATTTCAAGAAAGTTAATTAGCGGATATCCTTTGCATCCTGTAACATTTCCACTCAAATACATAATATTCAGGACAAAAATATTCTGGTAAAGGTTTTGCAGATGCCGCATCCTTTAATGCAACTCTATTGCAAGCAGGGGGAAGTGACACGTTTATTGCCAAAGTGGGAATATTTGTAAATGATACCTGGAACAGCAGAAAAAAAATGTATACCGTGTATATTCTTAATATTACTAGAGAATAAACCTGATGACTATTCCACATTTTTATACAAACGAATTTGATTCTAAATGTTATGCAGTTCAATACATTTTGATTTAATAAACTTTTATTTCACTGGTACCTGCAAAAGTGTGATAGTATAGTTTAATTGCATAGTAAATTTATGAGTGTATGTTTCATACCAAGAAGCCTCTTTTCTAAGCAATAGGTATTTTGAGGACTTTACATAGAATCTCCCAGTTAAGGGTTCCAGCAATGTTGTAAGGGTGTTTTCAAAAACAAATTTTTGTTGCAAACGGACAGAATTCATAGTTCTCTTCAATATGTAGCCACTTCTTACTATAAAATAATTTTGCATTAGGGTTCATTTTCCTCATGGGTTACAAACTTTCAAAACTATCATGATACAACCAAAGAAACTGGCTGGCCAATTGGTGGGTGTAAGAAACAGAAGTGTCACTGCAAAACAGAAAGAGTGGCATTTCCATCTAGCTGAAAATGAACCTTGAAGCTTAAAGCCAAAAAGCATATCCTTGAAGGCTGTGGGATTCTAAATCTGCCTTTATGGGTTTAGGATGCTTAATTTAGACACGCAAATGTCAGTCCGGTGGCTTTCGGTTTTTTAATTTCACAGGCAAACGTACTTCCCTCCACATATTTACTTACCTTTCTACTTACCAGTTTACAGTGCTCACTGCTGTAGTGTTATGACCAGCAGTGACAGATGTGGGGTGCAGGATGAGAAGCGCAGTAAGTAAACCTGCCTAAGCTACCCAGCTGTTGAGCAATTTCCTAACATAAATAGTAAATTCACACACAAGACTCCAGTGCTAACTAAATGCCACTTAAGTAGGCAAACACAGGAGTAAGTGGCATCAGGTAAACAGAAACCAGTAAGCAAATTCCAGCATCCTTATTTAGTAAGAGCTATGCATTTTCCTTTCAGTTCCTGGGAAATCAGTTACAAGAGGAATAGGATAAGTGTATCTAACCCATTCTTTGGGGGATCAAAAGGCAGATTCTGTTTTACAAGACAGAGAAATGTTTCTTTTATTTGAGCAAAGATTTCCACATAAGCTATTTTCAAATAAACCAATAGGTTTCTAATAGCCTGATTTTTTTTTTCCTAGCTGCTCCACAACTAAACATCCTGTAAAATAACTGTTGTTTGCCTTTTTCACTATTTTAACACCTGCCCTTTATGTCATCTGTTTTGTTCACAAAGAGACTCAAACAAAAGTAGCTTTTCCTCAGATTTGCTTTGCTGGAGACACCTGGTCTGCAAGTGAAGATGAAAAGCAAACAATAACCTTTAAAGTTGCTTACAGAGTTTACTTGCTGTTTTTTTAAGGTCATTAACACACATTCCTAGGTTCGTATTTCAACTTACTAAAACATAATGCTAGAGTAGTCAAGGCAGGGCAAAAATAAAATTGTTCACTTAGGTGTTATATTGTGTTGAAAGTGTAGTATCAGATGGATTTTAAAAATAACCTGACATTAACTTCTCAGCAATTGAACAAAAAACGGCTTTAGGTCTTGCTTTTTAAAAAATTTATTTTGCTCATTTAAGAGGCAGCACCTGCTTTGTTTTGAAGTTGTCTAAAAAAATACTTTACACACTTACAGAGTGAATTTACCTTTCAACATTGTTCCTGAAGTATTGCACATCCCAAAATATTTTTGTGCTCCTCCCCCCTCCTGCCTTTAATCCATCAACTAAAGGAAACATTCTGTTTCTGAATGAACGCTGGGCTGTATGAATGGAATAGCATGGGAAGTGTGTGCTTCGTCTGCTTAATGGACAAACACAATGGGAAGAAAATGAGTTACGTAGGCCCAGGTTCTTTTCTGATCTGCTCCTGCATAGAGGGCAGAAGACTTTGTTCTAGAACTGCTACAAATTCCTGCTTCGTGAAAGCACATTTGGTCTGAAGCGCATTAATGCCTTAAACCACTGCTGCATGTGCCATACCAAAAACTAGAGAATGTCTTTTCAAAAGTAGATCGTATTGAAGTGTTCAGATGAGATACTAGGACAAACTGTTGTTCCACCTCATTCAGTGCTTAGCAGTAAGCGATGCTGTGGAACAGAGGTCAAAACCCTAGCTCAACTGTCTAGCAATATACCTGAACTGAACTTTCTGCTTTGACTTTTTCTACCTTGGGATTGATTTGTATATTGAAAGTAAGATTTTTTTTTCCTCTTAATGAGCATGTGGGCAGGGAGAACAAACCTCTTGATTTAGTTTGAGACGACAGCAGGTTGGTATACAGCTGAGATATGAGACTGGAAATTTTAAGAGCAGACATGTATGTTGGCTATTAGACTTTGGATTTTGTTTACATAAAACCATCAGATTTTCAGATATTCCTAGAAGAAAGGCGATTCCCTTAAGTTCCACAATTAAACAAATATCTGCCTGAATTAATTGCAGCTTTACCATTCGGGTCACGGCATTTGCACTTAAGGAACTGGATTTTTTTCAGGTATTAAGACATTGAAACAACTGAATGCTGACTTGAATTTACTTCTTATTTCATAAATTAGATCCTGTGACTCAGTAGATATGACTCTGTCCAAAGCAATAATATTAAAGGAATGGGTCGTATTTTCTTACTCTTTCCTGTTATAAAGAGCTGAGAACAATGTATGATCAAATCGGTTATAGCCTATGGAATATAGGTAATATAGTTGTAGTTTATCAGCAGATCAAAAGTTGAAAAAATTGAAGTCTGTGCCAGGAGTCAACATTTAAAACCTAAGACCAGAACTTCAGCTTGAACCATCCCAGCAGAGTAGAAGGGGGACAAGTTGCTGATAAAGATGCTGTGGATGCTCTGAACTGAGAGTTGTTTTTTCGTGTCATAATATCCTGGAAGCTCAGAACCCTTTGTCACTTTGAAATGCATTTCTTCCCTAAGCACAACAAAGTCAGGTGTCTTAAGATGTACAAGAATGAATGCTTATAATTTTTGATGAGTAATGACCAATGAAAGCTTATAATTATTGTCATGAGTGCACTGAACTTCATATCTCAAATACAAAAAGATATTCTGACATGCCGTCATCCAGAAACATCTGCAGACGATGGACAAGGACTAATGTATTGTACAGCATTGGGTTTTGAAGCACGCAAGAGATGATTCCAACTCTGAATCAAGAGCTGCATTCCTTTCTTAAGTAATGCATCTGTTTTCACTTACTGTGAAAAGTGCTTGTTTCTATCAACTGTGTATTTGCTAAGCAAAAGAGTACTGGCAGGACCCAAAAGAAAATACTTTTTTACTTTAAGATTAGTACACGTTAATGGATAAAGTTTCCACACTACTTTAGATGATATGACTATGCACTTTATTTCTGTATCTTCTGTAAGTAAATTTCTGTGAAAAGTTTTCAAATGACAAGTGTAGACATGCAAAATGCTGCCAACTGATTTTGAAGACACGGTGTCAGATTTGGGTCCACAACAGAGAGGTGCCACTCTCAGATCCTTCTCTGGAGCTTAGCAAACCCAGAGTTTGATCAGATGACTTGTCTATCTTAATTAGCTCCCTAGAATAAGTTCAGTCTGTCTCTTCAGCCTGGAAGAGAGAGAAACAGAGAAATGGAAAACTTAAACAAATCCTCATTGAGAAGGCAGATTTATCAGCGTGGCTGAAGAAGTTGCAAAAGCTAGCATGCTGCACGGCCCTCATTCTGACATTCTACTTTGGTACTCAAGTTTGTAAGCCTCAGAATCAAGAGCCAATAGGTAGAAAGTAGAAACATGAGCTAGGCTGCAACTATGATACAGAGATAAATGTTATGCTTCCCACTTGTTAAAACAGCTTAGGTACAAGAGTCAGATCAGGACTCACAGCCTTTCTGCAGAGTTTGGTTCTCTCCCCATTGTCCCCTTCCTGAACAGAATTGTAGAATCACAGAATGGTCTGGGTTGGAAGGGACCTTCAAAGATCATCAAGTCCAGCCCCTCTGCTGTGGGGAGGGAGATGTTCCACTAGAGCAGGTTGTTCAAAGCCCCATCCAACCTGAATGGACTGTGGAACACTTCCAATAACAGGGCATCCACAACTCCTCTGCGCAATCTCTTCCAGTGTCTCACCACCCTTATCATAAAAAAAAATTCTTCCTGGAATAGAAGATGCAAGTTGTACTTCAGAGAAAAAGGGTTCTTGCATCTAGTTAGCAATAAGGTTACTAGAGGGAGCCTTAAGGATACCCACAGAGACTACAGAAGGGA